CGATCTTGAGATGTCCGATCGCGGGACACGCAGATCGCTAATATGGCCTCCCGTGTGGCACCAACATCAGCACGTTTGGCCATGCAACATGCTCCGGTTCGTCGAGACTGCTGACTGGGAAGTTTTTGCATGGCTTAACTTTCTCTAATTGCACTTTGACCTCCTGTTTTCAATTTTTCTTTTAAAAATACTCCCCGAACTCAAATGTTTACCTATTCTTCCCAAAATTATTTTCAATTTCGTCCCTAATTCGTTTTTTCTCAAAAATTCAATCAAATTAAAATAAAATAAATTTTTTTAATTATTATATATATATATATTCATAATTCGTAAAAATTATCCCAGACTAATTTTTGGGTCCGGGTGTTACACGTATATTCCATATATACAAAATATATTTGTGCATATAAAGAGATAGAGAGGAGAAAACACCGAAGATATGGATGTTGCAAGTGTTCTCTGTATGAATCCTCCAGAAGATGGGAAGAAGACCTACGCCAATAATTCTCATCCCCAAGTATCTTTCTTTTTCATCAAATAATATATAAATATATATATATAAATATGCATGTATATGTAATAACATTTCATAACTTTTGTGAGATTAATATTTCAGAGAATAATCATGTCAAAATCCAAGCCATTTCTTAGAGAAACCATAAACAACATGGTGAGGTCGATGAGAAGTAGTAGTAGGAATGTTGATGGCGGTTGGCCAGCTTGTTTCAGAGTTGTAGACTTGGGTTGCTCGTCGGGATCCAATACTCTGCAAGTGATCTCAGAGATTAATAACACCATTAATGATGAGATCATCTGTAACCAACACCAAATGATCGTGATCATCATGATCATCAAAACGGTCATCATGATCGTCATAACGGTCATCATGATCCCGAGATCCAAGTCTTCTTAAACGACCTTCCTAGCAATGATTTCAACAGTGTTTTGAAAGATATTCCTGGATTTTATGATCAACATGACAAAAACAAGCTTCACTATTTTGTGTCGGTTGTGGCTAGTTCCTTCTATGGCAGACTGTTCCTCAGGAGTAATCTTGATTTTGTACATTCTTCTACCAGTCTTCAGTGGATATCCAAGGCAAGTTATTATTAATTTTGCATACATACAAACACATATGCACATATATTAATCAAAATTCATTTATTTGTCTTTTAAATGATATATGGATACAAATCATTACATAGTAAAGCATAACTTTCGAACGAAAGTGCAGAATCATAACCTGACTCAACTCTATATATATATGTTTATATAGCTTCCAGATGGTATTGATGGGGAAAACAAAGGGAATATATACATAGGAAATTCAAGTCCTCCAGAAGTATATAAAGCTTACAAGGAGCAATTTGATAATGATTTCTCAAGTTTTTAAGGATGCAGTCTGAAGAAATGAAGCCAAGAGGTTGCATGCTTCTTATCTTAATTGCCAGAATTATTCCACATCCCTCGGCCTCTAAATATTTTTCTCCCTTGTGGGATCTCCTTGCAACATCTCTCATGAATTTGGTTGCCAAGGTAATTTATTTTTATTATCAATTTCTAATTTTTATTATTGTGAGTATATATAATTTTACATACATATATTTTTAAATAAATATATTAATCATATTTAATATTATATATATAACTATTCTCACCATAACCTGGCTCTGATACCAACTGTAACGGCCCCAGAAATTTAAAAAGAAATACATGTAATAATTTGAGTGCGGAAGTGAAATAAAGGTTAAGGTTAACATCCCTTATATGATAACTCGAAAG